CAAAAAAAAAAGCAGTTTTATTTAAGATGGTGACATAAATTTCTTAGAGGTAAAAGAGTGAATTGTTTTATTTTTATTCCCGCAGGTAATTTATAATGGAAACACTGGTCCTAAACTGAGATTTACAAGCCAGCAAGAGGATGCTATGTAATTAAGCAATCAAGTATGACGCCACAAGAGCTAAAAATCCTCACCAATGAGAAATGAAGAGTAAAAATTTTTAAAATAGTTTAAAGAGTTATAAGGCCACAGTGATAGTTCTAAATATCCCCAAAACACATTTTTAATCAGTAACTGTAAAGATCTTGAGCTCGGCTGCAAAGCAAATCTGAAAATTGAGTGGCTTTTGAAAAATTGAGTGGCTTGAGAAAGAAGAAAAAGACTTCTATGGTCTTTTCACTGCTTGATATAAGAGAGTTACAAACCACAGCGAAGTCCACTGTAGAAATGTGAAGTTGTCTCCCTCTTCTTGCTGGAAGGCTCACACATTTATTCTCCCTCAGTTGAAGAAGGTATCAAATCTTGCATCTTCCATGCAGGCAAAGTGAAGTTTAAGAGTTATTTATCTAGACTACATAAAACTTACTTCCCATTTTTCACTGCTTGATATAAGAGAGTTACAAACCACAGCGAAGTCCACTGTAGAAATGTGAAGTTGTCTCCCTCTTCTTGCTGGAAGGCTCACACATTTATTCTCCCTCAGTTGAAGAAGGTATCAAATCTTGCATCTTCCATGCAGGCAAAGTGAAGTTTAAGAGTTATTTATCTAGACTACATAAAACTTACTTCCCATTTCAGTTGGTCATGTTATTATTATCTAGTGGTGGTGCACTAATTTTTCAGTCAGGCTCCGAGAGGAAGCATAGTAGACAATAGTGTACAAAGTGGAAAATAATTTTGTTCTGTGATATATAAACAGAAATGCTAAACCAACCCCCTCCCAAACTATTTTATTTTGTAAGATCCCCTTAGCCAGCCTGTTCCGAAATACAGCAATTATGGGCTACTTTTAACGGTCTGTCTTCTACTGTTACTCAGCTGCATACTTAAGCTATGGACTTTAAAAAAAAAACAAAAACAACAAAACCCAACACAAAACCCAAACCTTTCCAGACAGATATATTTACACTGCAAGTTCTTACCCAACTGTCTGAACCTAATACAGCCAACACTATCTTAATTTATCTTAGTGAACTGGGAGGCTGAAGTCTTTACCGTCATAATTACTTTTTTCCGAGAGGATAACTTCATTCATTGCCCAAGACAAAGTAGTCTCTAAGTGACAGCGATCCAGGGTTTTCTTTGCCTTGATGCATACTTGTGGCTTAGTAACTGTACATCACTCACGCTGTCTGATTAATCTGAAGAGGTAGAGCCTGTAAGCACAGGGCCTTTAATAAGCGGAGGATCTTAAAACCCATGTGGAGGACTGTTCAGGTTTCCCCTTCCTCCCTTTCCAGGATTTGTGAACTCTCAGCTAAATCAGGTAAGTTTTGGCCTTCCAACCAAGCCGTTATTCATCCCCTCCTCCTCTAGAGATGCCTATACTCCTTGAACACAGCTAGGCACAGCCCTGTTACCCACACATGTGACACACATGATTACCATAGGCAATAACTGCTCTTGTGCTTTGCTGCCTAAGTCCTATACATATTCTTAACGAACAATACAGCACAGTAACCCCCTCAACTGACTAATGTTCAACACCATCTCATGGAAAAAGCTGTGCTATGAGCCTTATATTCCTTATAAACATAACTTAGTAGTGTGTTATGTGATCACATAAAGGGGATTAATGATATGACACAGTGCAGGTTTGCTCAAAACTTGTTAGATCAACCAATTCACCTACAATTACATCCTAAATCAGTTTTAATGAACACAAAGGCGCATCTCAAATACAAACCTGCAGCTATACTGAAACCAAATATTACATATTTTTCAGCTGAAGAAAGACATTAAATGGTTAAGGTAGATGGTAGTATTAATATGGGTTCAAATAACAGTTTGCCTATCTGTGTCCATCAGCCTTTGAAACTTTGAAACTGGAACTTTGTCCTAAGGGATTACAAATTCTTCCAGTAATTCTAACTGAATACCATAAACCATGTCCTTTTTCTTCTCCCCTCCACGCAGCCCTACTGAATAGAAGAGGTCAGCACGTTACAAATCTTATGTTTTACATTGTGTGCAGGATTCAGAAAGCTTAAGACCAAAGGCAAAGGAGAAAAGACGTAACGATCTTTTTGCCACTACGTGTCACTATATAAGGTCATTTTTTTGACCTTTTTCCCCTTACTTTCTTCTTTTACATTCTGTAATTTGTAAGAAAAACTGAATTAATTAGTTGAATTCAAGCAAAGTCTAATTTTTAATTAAGCATTATACCAAATCCACAATCTTTAAAACACTTTGCTTGACATATACCTTACGATCAATACCACATGCAGTAAGCACAAAATTTTGCTGCTCCCTCCGCATCCAGAACATACAAACTAAGGAAACAGAAAGGAAAATATGCAGAAACTATTGGCAAGGGAGCTTGAGCTACTGGTAAATAACTTTCCTTTCATACTGCATTCTGGATGGATGAAAATTACTGTATACATCATTTCCACATTTAAACAGTAATGCTGCTGACTAAGTATATAAAAGCAGAAAACTGAAAAGCAAAGAATTACATTAAGGTCTTTCTGTTTATGCACCATTCAAAACTATTTCACTACCACATTACAGTGGCTCTCCTAGCCTCAATATTAAAGATCAAGCATGTACAGTATCTTGTAAATGATCCCAGTCTATCTTTAGCCCAAGCCAAGGTCTCGATTTTCACATTTATCTCAAGTGTCTAACACATGCAGTATTTCTCCCTTGCACAGCCTGCTCTCTTTAAGTTACTACAGCAAGTGCTTTTTAGATCTGCCAGCAATACATTGATGCAAGTGATCTACTCCTCCCCATCCTTCTTTGGTCAGGGTAATAATAAACTTTGTTCACTTACCTCTCCCTAGCTTTATTTTGCGTGCAAGTGTTTCTGCTTTTGCCTCAAACAGTTCCAGAACTCAACTTTAATACACGGGAAACAGAAGATCAGCAAATACTTTAAAATGCTGTATTTTGTGGTTTGACCTGAGTGACATCCTCTTAAGTGAAAGTAAGGAAGCAAATCAAAATCGGAGTCTAATTTTACTAAGATTTACTAAATTTTACTAATTTTACTTCTGCACTCGAAGTACTGGGACAGTCTGCTGGCTCATGTTGACTCAACTAATCTCAATGTTTCTAACTGTAACTTACTAAACTGTGGCTCAATGGATTAAAAGCAGAATTACTACTTAAGATTAAAACAAAGCATTTTTTTTAATACAAAAGGTTTCAATAGACCCTTCCAAAACTTAAAGCATTTACAGAATACAAAGTAAGTTTTGAAAACATGTAGCTATTGTTTTAAGAGTTAACTGGAAAAAAAAAATGTAGCAACTAACTAACAGTCATTGCAAGGCTAAGGAAATTATTGCAACAGAGAAAACATATCCAGCCCAACTTCCTCTACAGCTTATTTGTGTAAAACATTCTTTGGGTTGTACTTCCTCACTGGCAGGGGAGGCAGAACATCACTTTATATCCAAACAGTCACAACGGGCTGTAGTATAAAAAGAAGGAATGAAAAAAGTATTTCAGTCTTAAAACTTGCTTTACAATCTAACCAAACTTCGTAACAGATCACCGAAGAACTTCCATTGTAACTTGGTTTTTATCTTTTGTTAAGGCAGACTTGGGGAGGGGAAAAAGAAAAATTACAGAACCTCTAAAGGTTCCGCTTTCATAACATCTACATTCAGAAGTTTTTTCTACTGAAACCCCATCATAAAATTTTGGAAAATTATAAGTAAAAATAAATGTTCGAAACCTTCAGACTATCCCTTAATAGCATGATTAACTAGAAAAATGGATGATTTACTGGAAACATCTCCCCCACCCCATTTCTCTGTCAGATTCTGGACAGTCTTTCAAGTGGCAACAGGAACAATTTAGATTAATTGCACTAATGACTGTAGTACTCTCTAATTTTATGGGTGAATGACCAACAGAATAGGTAACAATAGATTTGTGCTTTCAACTGGAGAAATGGACCCCACACATTCAGGTGATGATGAGCAAGGTTTTACACAGGCACAAAAACCCACTTGCAGGTTCACTTGCGAGTCTTTTTTTGGCTCATGAAGCCACTTTGAAATTTGGTGTGTTAGTCATTGCACAAAACAGCAAGAAGAATGTGTCAGGAGCTGAGGCTCACACCTTTTAACGTGACAAGAAATCAGAGCTAAGCCCCAAAAGCTCCATTCCATTTGCTGATGCTTGCAAAGCTCCAGCTGGCACAACTTTCTTCTGAAAAGCCATTTCACCTGTCACTGATAGGAAACAGAAAGACGCAGGGCTGTCACCAAGCCCATGCAAGGTCCTGCAGGAAAAGACTTACCTCATTTCCTTTGACTGCTGGAGAAGATCTAAACCTTTTAGACACATACTACCGCTAATACCCTTTATTGCTGGTGTTGCTGCACGTTCCAAAAAGACAGAGCATACTCTGAACTACTCACATGGGATAACATGATTAAAAAGACGCACTGAAAAGAATTTTAAACTCAAATTGTTGCTCTAAATTTTGTAAAAGTAATATTAAAAAATTATCTATGTATAAACAGGCACAGATCTCAAAGATGATTGGTGAAAAGACTTAGTAAGGAATTAATTAGGAATTAATACATACTTAGCAACTAAGGTAGAAACGCTAGGGGGTGGGCGTAAGAAATAAACCTATCTACTTCACCCTCCCCAAAACTCCTAATTAGCTATAGCAGCAGCTTTAAGAAATCATCAGTCCTATTTTTGTGATGTTGCTATAATGTGGAGCTTCCCACAATTAATGTATAACAGAGACTTATTTTTAAATAACTTTTAAATGGTTAACTTCCCAGGAGTTGGAATACCAGGGACAGAACTCCATAGGTCATATTTTATCATGCTCTCTGCTCTAAGCAAATGAGTGCAGCCATTTACAAATCGAGTCATCATTTTAAAACAGATTTTGAAAACATGATGGAGAATGGTGATGAAAAATTTTGGGAACCAGTAATCTCAGTTTCCAGTCACACCGCTGTTTTATGAAAGGACAACATCACAGTGCCCCCCCAAAAGGCAGTAAACTATGAAGCAAAGGAAGAACTATCACAGGCTCTGAAACGTTTATGATGGCTTATTCCTTTGATCAGTTTATGTAAAGGACCTCATATAATCGTCAAAACAAATGCATACAAGTTTCAGCATACCTCGCTCATTTTTCTGCAGGAAGTAACAGTGCAAAAGATGTAAGATGCAAACACAGCACACAATTTCATACCAGCCTGTCTCACTCACAAAATTAAATCTCTGCCACAAGACAAACAAGGACTATCCAAAGATTTGTTGTATGCAGGAGCAGGAACGAGGAAGAGCTGTATGCACAAGAGCAGAACAAGACTGAACAAAATCAAAACACCCTTACCTGAACTGAAGGTGCTGGCTCTTGAGATTGCTTACTGGTAGTTCCTTGGAAAGATGCTAAAGCAAAACTGTCAGTCTTGTGTAATACTGGACCGTCAATCCTGTCAGATGCATCTGTCCTATGTGACTGCCATGTCTCTTTTCTGTGATGAGATTCACCAGCTTGCTCATCTCCAAAGGCAGCCCAAGAACAGCTGTCTCTTTGTTCATCTTCAAAAGCATTCCAATCTGTAGCCTGGTTACAACCTGCTGAAAAGTCCTGAAAAGCAACACTCTCATCTTGAGATTTTGGCACTGAATCAAAGTCTCCGAATTCACTATCATCACCATTTTCTGCCTCAGTAGTATGCTGGAAGTCTAAGCCAGAAGTTTTACTGGTAGTATCACATTCTAAAGTGTCAGCAGTCTGATCTAGTTCAGCTTGATCCAACCTTGCTGGCTGCTGAGAAACAGTACTTGTGTCCCTGAATTCACCAAATTCATCATTAGGTTCGCTAATATATGTGCGCTTTTCGGAAGTTCCTTCTAAATCTAGAGCATTTATCGATTCTTGAGCATTAATGAAGGTGGGAGATGCACTGCTGACTGAACCAAAATCACCAAAATCATCATCATGTGTGTCACTGCATGCTACAACTTCAGTACTGCTTCCACCATTCTTAAGATCTGCAGAATGACCCAATTTTTCTCCTGCAAGATCACTGCTTAGGCTTTGGATCTTACCAACCTTGATGTCCTCTGTTCCCGAAGAGTCATCAGGCCTAGTAAAATCTTTGCCATTCTCTGTGCCATGTTGTCTTCTCCTCCCACTGTGTTCTCCATTTTCAGTAGTGCATATTGAACTTCCAGTTGTTCGAGACGTACTAGAAATTGCAAAATCAGTATCTTCCAGTGCTGAGGGACCCTGTTCACAACTAATTTCTGAAATGCAAACCTCTTCTTCAATAAAAGTTACTCTGTTTATTCTGTTGTTCTCCTGAATGCTCAGAGAGTCCCTTTCATTAAGAACACTGTGTATTGTAGGTCCTGTTCCCTCTAAACAGATTGGCTTTTTGTTTGAGAATGTAGCAAAATCTGCAAAGTCTTCACCTGAGCTAGGCATTGAGTTCAAATTTTTCTCAGTACTATGGGTGCTAACAGTTTTCAGTCCCTTTGAGTCACTGACACTGTCTAGATCTTCTGTTCCCTGAGGATTTACAGGATCCGGTGCTGCAAATCCGTTTGTTAGAATCTCTAGACATGGAAGTTTCTCACCATTACAAGCATCTATTTGCTCATCCTGGCTCTCAACTGCTATACCAGTTCTAACGACATGAGAAGAAAAACCCTCCGATTTCCCTGTGTTGTCTCTTTGTTCCCCTCTTTTGTTTACATCTTCTAAAGCAGTACCTGAAGTTCTAAACTTAGATTTTTCTTTGCTGGTACTAGAAGCTGACATATCAGAGAGTTCCTTAGTAAGAGTAGGAAGCTCTGCAATGCAGTCTTTATCTTTAACATTTTTAACAGATGTGAAAGTTGCAATGCTAGCTACATTGTCAGAATAATCACGAAGTGGGATGAAATGATTTGTGGGTATAAACTCCTCCTTTGGATGACTGTAGTCCGGTGTATCAAAATCAGCAAAAGCTACACCAGCAGTGCTTACACCAGAAAATCCTCCAAATTCTCCAAATTCATCATCTTCATCATCATTGGCTCCATTGTCTAGTGGTGGAGGGGATGAGGAGTACATTCGAATAATATCTGGTTCCATTGTTTAGTTCCACTTCAAAGTTAATGTATTTCTGTAATAGGGGAAAAAAAAAGTATATTAGAATTTGGCTAGCTTTTGTCATCTCCTATTTTTTATTTTTACTGTTTCACATTTTATTTTAAAAGTGTGCGTATAGGTCAGTGTCCATATTAGATATGAGAAAGGAACATTCCCCAAACCCATTTTCTAACCAATTCTTTTGTTTTAGAAGTCACAAAGAATCTACTGAGGACAGTTCAAGTCTCTTGTAAACTACTACATGATCATACTCTCAGCAGACAGTGCTGAAATGCCAGAACACGAATCATGTTTGTCTTGAGCTGTTGTGCAACACACCAACACAACTAATCTGAGTTTTAACCCATCAGGGCTCTACCTCCCATCACCAGCAACTCCTAAAACAGCCAATGACCCTGGTCCATCTTTTCCCACACTCATTAGCATGCTCAGCTGACTGTCCAACAGAAATTAAGCCACTTGATGGATTATGCCTCAACAGTCATGTACTTACGGCACCTTCAGACAGCAGCTCCGAAGACTCTAAAAAATGCTTCCTTAAGCTTTGAAATAGTGAAGAAGTGGAGGAAGGAACTGCTGTTATAATCACTAGCTATGATCTGCTGCTCTACTGTTTAAGTTCCTTTCTATCAATTCATGGGTTTCTGTTAGGTCTCCCCGTTCTTTGGATTTCATAACTGCAAGCCAAAGCGCTGTCTCCACAACAGCTGCTGCCAGCAGTTGGGAAATGCCATTACAAGCACCAGCAAAGCCTAGAGCAAAACAAACTTCTCCATCAAACCTTATTCTCAAAAGCAGAAGGGAGCAAGATTATCCATAAAATATTTAAATGCAAATCACTAAATCAGAGGGGAACAAAAAGAAGAAAGTATTCCCATGGTCTAGATAGAAACAGATTAAGAACTCTATCTTAACATTGCAAACCATTAAAGTAACAAGCAAGGTATGGATAGAAAATTTTCTTCCCTAAAGAGTGATCTTGATTTTTTTTCAATATTGTGTGTAATTAATGAAGCGGTAACTACTACTATTTATAGATTCATAATTGTACACATCACTTAACCAGTTCATACCTTAGAGCCCTTAAAGGGAGAGCTACGACCAAGCTCTTTCTATTTCAAATGACACTTGTCATGAATAAATTGTAACAACACAGTAAGCATTATCTACACAAAAAGAGTGTAAACAACCTATACATATTAGCAAATATTTGAATTTCTAACCACCAGTATATGTGCAGACTTTACAATACTAGTTCTGAAACACAGATAAAACACGATCCTTAACTCCAACATCTTTAACAAACGACTTTGTACATGTACCTAAACAGCAGCACACAAAGAGTATAACAACAACAAATGAAGCTCCGCAGTTTGCAAGCACAACATACCACAGCACTTGAGCCAAACAACTCTTGGTACTTGCCAGGAAAATCTGGCATCTTTAAGGTGACTAACATACCTACATTTTTTTTTTTAAAAAGGTATTTTGCAGTTATAAAAGAAAAGAACATCATGCTTATCAGATGAAACCATGAAGTAATTTGTAACATCACATGCAAACTGAAGATGACTGCAAAGGAATTTTGTTTAGAATAAAGAGTAAGTTGTCAACAAGCTCCCACAGAGGCTTACTCAGCACCAGCTGCTTAACAAGCTATTTGAGAGAAGAGCTTCACTCTCTTATCTCGGAGGCCTCATCTCTCAAGAGCACTCTCCCTTTTACATCAAGGTCTAGCAATTGCTGTTTAATGTCGTACATGAACATAAAGATCCTTTCCAAGATGTCTGCAGAGTGTGACTTCGAGTTCCCACTGAGATTACCCCAACCTGTTCACCTTCCAAGCTTCTGGATTTTCAATCTAGTAAATACGGTATCAGCATTTCTTCTTTGTAACTATCAGAGCAGCCACTCCTTCTTTATAACCAAATTTCCAAGATCTACTGTGGTCAACCATCAACACTAAGATTAAACACCCACTATATCCAGACTACAATTGCTTTCTCAATGTTTTACTGCAGAGAAAGATCCATATGCTATACGTAAAGATATGCTTTGGTAGGTGGAAGTGCTGGTTGTTCTTTTGTAGGAAAAAAAAAAAAAAAAAGACCAGTTAGGTAGATATTGGTATATATATCAGCTGTGTTCATCTCAAGGTACCTTATCTTGGGGATAGCACTATTTAAAGCTAGAGAGGAGTTAGTTCAACAGTGAATGGCATTGTGTCTGGAATTCATGAATCAGTAGCTCTTTAGTAACACACTGACATTTAGGAGAAAGGACAGAGAAAACTGCATCAATTGGGATGGGACTCACTCCCCCCCCCCCATTTCCTGGAAAAAAGAAAGGATTACTTCGTTTCTTTTTTTTTTAAATGAAAAAGGAGTGGGTTTATTTTGTTATAACAAATCATCCTTTGTAAGTAAATTTGAGTTCATGAGTCTCCAGTTGAATCTCAGTAGACAATAGCATAAATTTATTATTAAGCCTCCCGAAATTTAAAAAGAATTGTTACACCTATTTGGAAAATTCTGTTGACATGGTATTTATCACTTTACCCCATTGTGACAAAAGCTGAAGAGACTGAAAAGACAAGAAACTAGTTCTTGAAACAAACAAAAAACCCTCAACACTATTTCAGGGACAGCACTGACTAGATAAAAACCTTCATCATCCCAGAAGTAAAAGGAGCTTGAACAGAAACAATGAAATGGCTGGAAAGAAGGAAGGTGAAAACATAAGTCCTACAAAAAACACCCCTGATTGGCTTTAGGGGAATAATAACGGAGAGTGGGATAAGCAGCTCCAAAACCAAGTACTATGATTGAAGCCATTGCAACCTCAACAGTAATTTTATCACATGATTAGATGTTTTGTTTTTTATTAGGCAGAGATGTACAAGCCCTCTAAAACACATCTCTAAAGCCTTTTAGAAAGAAAAGATTTTAAAACAGAAAATGACAGTTCCACAGCATGTTGATTTACATTGGAAAGAAAAAGCCATATAACTAAACCCACAGAAACTCGAAGCAGAAACACAATTAAAATCCCTAAATATTTCAATTACTCTCAAACAGGTAGTCTATAAAACATTACATGCTTAAGAAAGTCAAATGCTTGTGTGCTGACACAAGTTAAACCTAGGAAGTTAACACTTTTGACTTTGAAACCAGTATTTCTGAAGTCCACAAGACCCAGTCGTGAAGCTTTCCATACAGTATGAGTAATAAAGACCAAGTTTAACACAAAAGTATCATACTATACATAAAATAACTCCAAATGGATACAGATCAGATTTTTCTTCTTTTGAAACAGTTTTAGAATAATCAAGTTATGCAAGCAATTATATTCAATTATATTCAAGAGCAGCCTCCCTTCTCCCAGAAACCTTATTTTTACTGATGAGAAGTCATGAGAAGGGGAGGAAAAGGCTGAAGACGAAAGCAACCTCAAATTTGTTTTCAACTGGCAAATATATAAACTTACAACCCTGTACATAGAGAACGACATTAAAGTATAGTTTTGCTGGTTCGGTAATAAAACAAATCCACATTGCACTCCTACAGACTAAAGTTTTCTAAAATCTTGGAAAGTACTTTGATCAGCTGCAACTCTTTTGCTTGGCTAAGAAGCATCTATAGCTCCATGGCCTACCTAGATTACCATATGTTTATGGATAGGAATTAGATGCAGAAGGATGCTGATGAGCCTCCTAATTTATGCATTATATAAGCCAATATTACTTAAACAAACTAAATAACAAAACTGCAGTCATCACGACTCAGACTAAACAACGCAGCCTAACTAAAAAGTTGTTTTTTTTTTTTACTGTATCTCAAAGACATACCCTAACACTATGAATCAGAGGCCTTGAAAAAAACTTCTGAACTTTCCCATTAAAATTTATCTATATGTTTCACCAAAAGCATGCATGTTTTGTTTTATTTTTAAATCTTCTCAGATTTATAGGCTTATATAAGCTGTTTTTCACTTGAGTTATTTGAAATATCATGTTCAGCTCTGTATTAGTAACTGTTCCATCACTTGACATCAGAAGATCTCATGCAAGAAATGCTGACAAAAATTCTTAACCTGCACTGGACATACTTTCTTATATTATTCATCATAACTCTACCCATATTTTTTGTTGACCATTTACTGTATTATTATCTTAACCTCAGCTAAAAATAAATCATAATAGAGTTGAAAAAATCCTTAGGGGCAAGGATGATCTAAAAAAACCCAAGATACAGCATTCAGAAAACAAACTGAATAAGGTGAGAGCAGCAAGCATCACAGTCAAAGGGAATTTACCTACAAGACTCCTTTTATTTCCAGTTAACATATAAAAAGGCAGGCAAGGAACAAGAATGGTAGGGACAAGCACAGGACAAAGATAACATGAAGAGGCTGCATGGGAGGATGAAGCAGACTGCCAAAGCCCAATCAAACATGCAGGAAGATCTCTGACCATCTAAAAATTTTCTCCTCTTCAATTTATGCCATAGAGAAGAAGAAACTTCCTTCAATTTTTCATTTCAAAGCACTTTTAAAACATCACAGGGATCATTTACACAGCAGCAGTCCAGGAGCACAATACTCTGCTCCAGATATGTTTCAATAACAGCTGCCAAAACAGGATCTGCAACGAACATTAATTGTGCATTTAAAAATCTGATCATAGGTTTGATAGTCTACTACATGTTTAATCAGTTTAACCCATAAGAACCAGCTGCATAATCAATTGTATGGACTTGTGTATATTTTTTTTAAAAATGTCAGCTATTTCTGATGATGTTACACCTGCATTTTAAAAGCTGAAGTTAAAGAGCTCCAAAATGTATGAATCTGTATTATATAAGAGTGTAAGGTCGTTAACACAATTTAATTGTTGTTTACAGAACTCAGTATCATACTCAAAGTGTAACAGAAGGAAGAAAAGTCATACCAGTATTCCCCCTCCCCTTGACTGACTAATTAGC